GCCTAGAGGTCACCTCCATCCCTGGGTGCAGACATTCATAGCAAAAGTGCTTATGCAGATCTCACAGCAACAGTCTCTAGCAGGGCTGTTGAAGTCTTTCCAGCGTAGCAAAAGCAGCTCACTCTGAAGAGGTCTGGTCTGCTGGGTCTCTCCCAGACACAACTGCAGTGTCTCCCTTTGTAAGTGGCCATGCAGTGCAGGAGGATTTCTCCTGCCATCAGGAGAGAAGCAGCCCTGAGGCACTGATGTCTGGATGAGCATGGCCTGCATGAGAACACTGATGGGTTACTGCAGGTATTGCAGAAGTCTGGCCAACACTATCCTGGGCCCCAGTGCATGAGTCTTCAGCAGGAGAAGGCGTGGTCCATGGGTGGGTGCTCGTTGTCCCACAGGAACACATCTCCTCCCTTCCACTAGAACCCATGCTGTCCCAATGTTTGTTCATGGTCCGGGATAAAAGAGGAAGGACCCCTCAGGTTCTCATTTGGCTGCATTTTCCCAGACTGTAAACCAGGTAGCAAGAAGCCTCAAGGGCAGAACAGCCCCATAAATACCCCAGAATTACAAGGACCCTCTAAAAACAACTAGGCAAGGCCTTTCTCTTGGCTGGCAGCTCCAAGGGACTTTGCTTTCATTTGATGTGAACTGAGACCTCAGCTTGGGCTCAGGGTTTTGAAGATGTGCTAATGCGATGATCCTTAACACATTAATTCCCTAGGCAGGGCACCAATCCACTGCTTCCTCTGTGGCAAACCACTGGCCTGCTTTTATGGGGACCTCCATGTGTTAAATGCATCATTTTTTACTGGGACATGTGAGGAAAAGACCCTGTTGTTACTGCAGCACGTCAAAAGAACCGCTGTCAGAGTAACATAGCAGCCAGAGGCAGAACACTCCTGCACATAGTGTTCACAGGGGCTGTGTGATGAATTGCTGCAGATGATTTCCAACCCCCCTGGCCAAATCTCCAGATTCCTGGCTTTCCCTGTCCCCAGTCTTACTCCAGTGTACAGTCCCTTGCTTAAAACACAGTCTTCCCCCCACATGACATTACCTCACTTCCTTCCACCCACACGGCCAAGCAGGATCCCTGGGAGCTGTACTGGATCTGCACAGGCTGGGCAGGACAGAGCTCTGGCCTCTGCCATTGGTGGGATGTCCTATGGGACAGCAGATCCTCCCTCCCTGCTCTCTGTTCCAGCACCGAAGTCAGAGCATCTGCACAGCACTCATCCCACCCACTGGTGCGGTCCTGGTGAGAGACTTGCAGCTGCTTCACAGGACATCCAGTGCAAGTGCTGCTGGAGACCCAGCATACATACAGCACAAAAATCCAGCTGCCAGAGCCCTGGATCCTACACACTGGGGTTCCCGCCCTAACCCAAAGTCCAAGCTGGTGTATGGACACTTATGCCTCAGGAGACCATGTTTGGAAAGAAATGTTTTTTTTGTGTAGATCTCCCCACCTCAGCTGTATTCTTTTCCAACTTGGACACATGCTGTCACCCCATCTGTTTCATGGTTTCACACATGTAAGATTTTCATCCTCCCTGTTTTGTTTTAATGGGGGCTGATGGAATGTAATTTCCAGTTCAGGAAGAGGGTGAGGATACAGAGCAGAGTATTTTCCTATAAGAGTGTCCCTGCTGTCAGCATCTTTCACCTTGTCAGTTTTACAAAGTTGATGCTTGTCCTGGTTTTATAAGCTCATGTTCCCTGTGACCTGCAGCTTGGGAATCTGCCTGCTGGCTGCAAGCAGCCACAGCACCCACTGAGTGCCCCAGCAAGGTGAGCATGCCCCCTGCACACTGACACCCTTCACTTGTGCCACAAGACATCCTCTGTCGGGGACATGTCACATCCCCTTCCCACCCCATCTTGCTGATAGCCATGTGAATTCCACAGGGATTTTGGCTGCAGCAAAATACAGGGTCTGGGAATCTATTTATAATCTGTGTTTCTCACAGATTCATTTCCTAGAATCTTTGCTCTAAACAGATGACAAGAGCTGAAAAAGGATCCTTGGATATTTATGTATTTTTTTCCAGCAGTATAGCAACATCCTCAGGCTTACATTTGGAAACACTGGGAGGTTTTCCTCCTCCTTGTCTCAAACAAGAACAGTTTGGGAAAGTGTGAATCAGTTCCTCAGTTACCTCCACAGAACCTGAAGAGTTTGTACAGGATGTTACCCTGGTGCATACAGGGAGGATTTTCCTATGTCAGGTCAACAGGCAGCATACAGGAGCAGAGCTTCTGCAAGAGAGTAAAGAAAGTGTGAGAAGGTTTATTAGTGATGTTTATCTCCTGCTTCTTAATTTTGTCTTGTGTTCAAAGTGTGATGCCTACTTGTACTTTATCCTAGGAAGTCCTGCCCATGATGGGCAGGGTTCTCAGAGAGCATTAGTCACCCAGCAGGAGATCCAAGTACCTGCACAGCTATTTTTTATTAGCCTCAGGTACTTGACAGTTGGGCTGTCAGTAAAAGAAGAAATATGGATTGTAGAATATCACTTGCACCTGTCAGTGTAAGCAATGAGTGCTGATACTGTAACTTCCCAAAATGCCTCATCACTGCAGGCACTGAGAAAAACTGGTGGCAGAGCTGCAGCTACAAGCACTGCCACTTGCACATTGCACAAGTATTTTAACCCACATATCTTTTGTTAAATAAAACTTTAAGTAGTGATTTGCACCAGTTTAAATATTTATCATGTGGACCATGTCGTGGTACTCAGCATTTTCACAGCAAACACTGAATTAGAACCATAATTCAGACTCTGCCAGCTTAAAATCCAGTCCCTGGCATAAACATCTCCTGTGCCAGCTGTACCAGATCAGGTCTGGGTCAGGGCTCACTGCCACACGAACAAAACATGGCTCTTTGCTGCATTTACCCCTTTGAGCATGAGCTGTTGTCAGTGAAAAGAATCAGACACAAATACCCTGGATTTTTAGCTCAGCTGGGTTTACCAGGTGATCCACTGAAAAGCCAACCACCCACAGGAGGAGGGATGAGCTGATGTACTCAGTGGCTACGCTAGTGCCAGACTCCCCAGAAGGGGAGGCAACAGGAGCCTATGGCAGAGGTGTGGATGGAATGGAGCAAGGCTGGTGCTGCAGGGAGGGAGCTCTCACAGCAGCTGGGTTGTTATGTGGATAGAGTCCTGATTTAAACCCGAGCATCAGCAGCAGGGTGGCTACCTTGGTCAGAAAGCTTCTGCTCTCCACATGCTAATTACCCCCTCAGCCCAGCTCTTGCACCATGGTTTCTCTCCACAGCACTTGCTGCAGGTGGAAGGGGCAGTTACAGCCTTGCCCTTTTCACCTTCTAATTCTGGGGTGGCAACAGCACTTGCCTAACCTTGCTCTTGACTCAGAGGCAACACACAAATGGTCATCTGTCCTTCTTCCCAGTGAGTGGCAGAGTAATGACAAAGGGCCCACATTAAAGCTTCCTTGTCTATCAGTAGGAATAGAATCATAGAATCACAGAATCAACTAGGTTGGAAAAGACCTTTAAGACCATCAAGTCCAACCATTAACCAAGGGCTGCCACAACCACCACTAAACCAAGTGGTTTAGTGGAATGTTAGTGCCTGCACAAAGCCAGAGGATCAGGAGGGTTCGTCTCAAGCACAAAAGGGGTTCTTGAGTTTCAGGGATGTTCCTTGATTAGCACTTCTAAACCCCAGAATCTTGATGCAAAAGCTGGTGGGGTCAGTAGCACTGCCTCCAGGGGAGTGCAGATAACTTTCCTGGATTACAGGAGTCTGACCCCCTTTTTGGCTGTTCAGAATTGCTTAAATGTCAACAACAGCCATGTAGGTGCCTAACAGATCCCTTAACTCTGCACTGCCCAGGCTGTATTCTCCCAGAGATGCTGGCAGTGGCAGCAGCACTCAACCCTCTGCTGAGGTATAGTAAAACTGCATCATCTCCAGCAGCAGAGAACCCTGTGCAGTCACCGTGCAGCAGCACCAGCTGAGGAAAATTAGGAGAAAAACACAATAATTCTGCCAAAAGAAGGGAAACAACAAGCTTCTCACGCACTTGCAGTCAAGAAGCAAACTATTCATAGAATCACAGAATCCCAGACTGGGTTGGGTTGAAGGGACCTTAAAGCTCATCCAGTTCCAACCCCCTGCCACAGGCAGAGACACCTTCCACTAGACCAGGTTGCTCCAAGCCCCATCCAACCTGGCCTTGAACACTGCCAGGGATGGGGCAGCCACAGCTTCTCTGGGCACCCTGTGCCAGCGCCTCAACACCCTCACAGGGAAGAGCTTCTGCCTAAGAGCTCATCTCAGTCTCCCCTCTGTCAGGTTAAAGCCATTCCCCCTTGGCCTGACCCTACAGGCCCTTGTCCAAAGCCCCTCTCCAGGTTTCTTGTAGCCCCTTTAGGCACTGGAGCTGCTCTGAGGTCTCCACTTAAGGAGCCTTCTCTTCTCCAGGCTGAACCAGCCCAGCTCTCTCAGCCTGGCTCCAGAGCAGAGCTGCTCCAGCCCTCCCAGCATCTCCATGGCCTCCTCTGGACTCTCCATGTGCAGGACCTTGCACTTGCCCTTGTTGAATTCCATGAGGTTTGCATGGTCGCATCTCTCCAGGTCCCTCTGGATCCCATCCCTTCTCTCCAGCGCATCGACCACACGACACAGAGACTGAATTGAGGCTTAAAACTCACACTTACTGAAGGCGCCTCAGGGAATAAACGGTTTCTGCGGGGGAAGCGGGGCCTGCAGCACCCCCAACACAAGGCCTAGCGCCCCTGGGCTGGCTCACAATCCCACCCCACCCGGCTGGCGGGCGGGCGGTCCGCGGCTCCCTGGCCCGCTCCCGCCCCTCTCCTCTGAGCCCGCCCTGCCCCGCAGATCCTGGCAGGTTGATAAGGACAGCGGCTGCTGGCACTGAGTTTAGTGGGCGTAGCGACGGCGGCAGCGTGTAGAGCTGCCAGGACCGAGCCGAACGGAGCGGGTGCGGGCGGACTCGGTCCATGGTCCATGCTGCCTACGGGCTGCGGCCGGCGGTGAGAACGGGGCCGGGCGGCGGGAGCGGGGCCATGCGGCGGAGGCCTTGCGGGCCGCTGATGGTGCTGGGCCCTGCAGGTCGGCTGCGGCGCTGTTGGCGGCATTGGGCGAGGGTGCGGGCCGGCGGCGGGAGCTGGAGCGGCGGGCGGCGCGGAGCTCTGCTCTCCTGCGGCGCTGGTGAGTGCGGCCGGGCCGGGCCTAGCTTCCACCCCGCGGTGGCCCTACGTCGGGTCCGGGGTCCGTGGTGCTGGCAGGGCCGGTGTTTGTGTTCTCCCGCCGGGGAAGCTGAGCCCGTCCGTGCCCCCAATGCTTTCCCTTGGCGCTGTGTTTCTCCCCGCCCAGGGGCAGTGAGGAAGAGGAGCAGGCGCCGCCAGAAGCCGGCTCCAGCAATGGACGAGGTGAGCGCTTCCCACTCGGCCTCGTGTCTCTTCATGTCACATTGGCCCTGGGCCTGATCGGGGTTGAGCCAGTTTCAGTGTTGGACGTCCTTCCAGTGCTCTGCATCGACTGGAATCCCCTATCCCTCAATCTTTTTCCTCCCACTTTCGCCCTTGGTGTTAGCTTGGAGCTGTGCTGCAGTAATCCAGGTCAGTGATGAAGTGCCTGTGGGCCTGACCAAGGTGTGGTGTTTGTCACTGGTTGATGAAGGGGAGGTTGACTCTGGAGAGCTGTCTCCTCTTATGACTCACAGCTATCTTGGGTCTTCGAGGCTTTTGGCAAGCCTGGCTGCGTTCTCTGTATAGTTGCTGGCCAGAATACCCACCACACCATTTAGAGGGTTCAGTTTCTTTTTGTGGCACCTAAAAGAACAAAGCTAGTTTAGAGGCAAATGGGGAAGATCTAGGTTTGGACCTGATAAATCTTCTCCTCTTGCAGACAACAAGCCTTCACCCAAGGAGCTGGAGGAGCTGGAACTGCTGAACAGAGCCTTAGAGAAGGTGCTGAAAGTCAGGAAAAGCATCTTGAAAACTCCATTAGAGGCCCAGGGAGCTACAGGAGAGAAATCTGCAGGTGAGGAACCTGCTCTCAAGAATGCTGAAGAGCAGCAAGTGCCTGTACCTGTTGAGGATGTTCCTGTGAGCACAAAGGTGAGATCTGTAAGCAAAAAGCCTGCCTCTTTGAAAAAGCCCTCTCCATACCAGCTAAAAGCCCCTTATAGGACTGACCCAGAGGTGAAAAAACTGCAAAACAAAGCCTCATCCAGATGTGTTTCTCGAAGTCCCAGGACAGCTGGGAAGAGCTCCTCAAAAGGGGTAGTTTACAAACAAGGAAGGAGTCCTAGGAGACCAGTGAGTGCCGGTGCCAGAGAGGTCTGTGCTCCATCTGAACCCCAAAAGGCACCTCGCTCATCCAGATCTGCCCTGAATGAGCAGCAAAGGTTTTCTATAGGGGATTCAGCTGGGGAAAAGAACTCTGTAGCTATTGGCAGGCAGTCACTTGATCCAGGGAAGAAAAGTTGTGGTTTCCTGGGAGAGTCCAGCAAAAAGGAGAACCCTGCAGCTGAAGGAGCACTGGGAAGGAGCACCTCACCTTGCGGAGTCACCCTGCAGGAAAAGGGGTAAGTGCTGAGAGATGGGCACCTCTGTCTTGTTCTACTCAACACTGACTATGACTAGCACATCTGCGAAGCCTGGTCTCTCCTGCTGTTCTGGAGGCCTCTTGGTTTCACTACCCCCTTCAGATCTTCCTCAAGAGGAAGGATCCTCTACAATTTAAAAGCCTTTATTGTGATTGTTCTTGTTTTAAGGGCTTAGTTTTGGATGGCTGGGACTCTGAAAGTCTTTAATTAAAACTCTTTGATATTTCATAGCCCCTTGTGATTGTTTTGGAAAGCTGCCTCTAGAGCTTTCTCAAGCCTTAGTTGTCCTCTGAGTGCACTTTCTATTACAGTTTAGTGATTTTTTTTTTTTTTAGTGGTTTGTTTGGGTTTTTTTGCACAATGATAGTACATAATGCAAATATTCTCTCTCTGTCATGTGCCCAGTGCTGTTTGAAGAGATGGCATCTGGGATTTAATACTGTCCCCTTTAACCTGTAAGATACTGCCTGTGTAACTACACAGATCAGTATTGACTAGAATGCAGTTGTTTCAAGTATTTGGTGTAGGAAGAATGATGTATGTTACTGAGATACTCGGTAACTGTGGAAAAGTGGCAAAAGAATACTTGGAAGTTTTGCTTCGCATTCAGACCAGTCTCTGTTGAAATAATTTCTGTGTTCTGTCTATTCTGTGCTTTAAAGAAAAGTGAAGTTCAGATCTGATACATGTCTGTCCCTGGAAAATTTTGAGGAATAGCTCTCAGCTGCCACAAACCCTGTGTTTGTGCAAGGAGGGAATTATTGTTCACATGATGTTGGAACAGACATAGGACACTGAGTGACAGTTGCTGGGAGAGCAGGAATCTGGATTCAAATGTTTGTTAACTTAGTCCCAACTGTTGTCTTGTGTTCAGAGTCTGCACGTGACTGTAGCTATAACTGCCAACCCATATGTTTTTGCAATAACGAGTTAGGGATTGGCCTACTTTGGGATTAAGATGCATATTCCCTGTGGAAACTGAAATATCCCTTTCCCATTTCTTTGTGATATGGTGCTAAGCAAAGCTGCCTTGTGGCTCAGGTACAGCTGCAGAGTCAGCCTATAGGGATCAGCTTCCCTGAACAGGTTGGTTCCACATCTGTACTCTGCCTTGCCAGGGCTTTGCTCCCAGCTCCTCACCTTGGAGGAACCTCTGAGGGCTGGTGCTAGGCTGCAGGAGCTCTCCTAAATTGGCTCAGTAATGCTTATGGAGGCATATAATCCTCCTTCTTCCTCCTTCCTTGAGGTCGGCTGAGGGCAGTGGTGGATTCCATCTCCACGGTTACTGACATCTTCAGTTACAGCTTAAATTCATGTCAAATTTAGCCAAAATGTCATTCTCTCTGTTTTGAAGGCAAGGTTCAACTGCTCTTCAGCAGTCAGGATTGATGCTATTTGTGTTTTGCAGGTGCCAGCTGAAGCTGCCCCTTCCCTACAGGAAAGCCTATTTCAGGAACTTTAGGTAAGCCTAGCCTGAGCAGTCCAGAACTACTCCCTGCTTCAGGGCAGTGAGGAGGGCTCAGGTGGGGGAGACCTGGCTGGTTTGTGGGTGACAGGGAGGTACTGACCCCACAGTGTGTGGAGCCTGAACCTGGGGCAGGAGAATGGTCCCATACAGCATGTCTCTGCAAGGCTGTTTCTGAGGATGTGTGTGATCATGCTATTCTAGCCACTAGAGTTAGTTTTGTTTTCAGAGTGCCAATTCCTGTTAATCCCCCTGTTGTAAGAGTACTGGAATGCTTTAATCCTGGGTTTAACAGGGCTGCAGAAGTCTCTGCTGGCACTCTGTACTTGTTGAAAGCAGGAGACCCTGTGAGGTGGGTGTCACTATACCCTGTGTTTCCGTGCTGGTTGCTGGCCTGAGCTGCTCTGCTGGGGCAGCTCTCTGCCTGGAAGCACCAGGGCTGTGTTTGTTTGAGGTGATCCCTGCTGGTGAACTCTCTTAAATGGAGCCAATTACAATGTTGCCGCACTGGTGGCATGTGAACTCGAAGCATATCATCAGTTCTGTTGTCTCGCCCTACCTATGTTTTTAGCCCATAGGCAGCAACAAATCTTCCCTTCCTTTCTTGAGGGGTAAGTCATCTGCATTTCTGTACATTTACTCTGTTAGTAAATGTGTACAGAAAGAGCGGACAGGACACATTCTCACCCTAGCTTTTCCCACAGGGATTCCTTCATATTCATCAAGACTCTAATTCTTTTTTGGGTTTTGGACAAAGTGATACATTTGGCAAGAAACATGACAGCAGTACATCAGTAACAAGGGTGCAAAACATAGAGGATTTGCACCCCTGAAACTTGCTTCAGTGCCCATAACGCCTGGTAACTTCCTGTACCAGTGGTGCAGGTGGTTAGGTTTCTGGCAAATCCAGTGCTTAGTCCATTCCCCAACCCTCTGGAAGGGTTTCCCACCATTGCCTTTGAGAAGTTTTGCCATAAATCAGCAGACATCTCATCATGTAATTTGTCCAGATGATAAGTTTAAAACCTCTCTTAAATCTGGCTGTAGCTCCTTGTGCTAGCCTCAGGAATTCCTCTTCCTCTTGGGAGTTGTCATTTATAAAACGCCAATTTGTTAGTTGCCCTCAGTGAGTTGTAGAGACTTGATTCTCTTAATTTTCACTTGTAAATTGAGATTTTTGGCATCCTAATCACTCTGGTATAATTTTACACTTTTCACTATTACTTTCAACTCAGTGACAGATTGAAAATAACCTTTGCTCTGAAGATCCCTTTATAAAGGAAACACATCTTGCCTGATAACTTCTTTTCTCTTCCCTTAACCTTGCTATTTCTTTGCATAATGTGTTTCTGAAAACTGCAGTTTCTACCATGATTGAAAAAAAATATTTGGCTGGAGAAGAGACACACACACTTGGGTTATGCACTGCATAACTATTTGAAGCTTCCTTGTGACGGTTGTCACTTTTTGCAGCAGGTTTTGGGAAGCTGGTTCTTTAAAGTTGTCCTTTACTTATGATGGAGGGGAGATTGAGATGAGGTCTTCAGAAGAAGCTCTTCCTTGTGACGGTGCTTGAGGCGCTGGCACAGGTTGCCCAGAGAAGCTGTGGCTGCCCCATTCCTGGCAGTGTTCAAGGCCAGGTTGGATGGGGCTTGGAGCAACCTGGTCTGATGGAGGGTGTTCTTGCTTTAAGCTCCCTTCCAACCCAGACCAGTCTGAGATTCTATGTTGAAGGCTGTAACTGAAAAGCACCTCTCTTTCATTTAACACTATCATTTGTGCAAGACTTTTTAATCCTGGACTCTGATGAGGTCCTGGCCAGCTTACTCGTGATACTGTCCTCAAACCTGTATGTTTTGCACAGCTGTTACTGATGCACTGTTGTCATGCTTCTTGCCACATGTACCACTTTGTCAAAAAAGGATTAGAGGAAAGTCTTCAGGAAGTTTGGAATCCCTGTGGGAAAAGCTAGGGTGAGAATTTGTCCTGTCCACTCTTTTCACCACATTTACTAACAGAGTAAGTGTACAGAAATGCAGATGACTTGCCCCTCAAGAAAGGGAGGGTTAGTTATGGGCTAAAAACATAGGACAGTAGCAAAGAATTGACATGCTTTACAGAACTACGTTGTCTCTCTTCTGATGGTTGTAAATTCTTCCCCTCAAAACAAGCTGAAAGAGACAAAACAGGTGTTTTGCAGTATCTAATGCTTTCTGCAGGGTTTCCTTGTGGATTTAATACCAGCACTCAAAAATGAGGAATTAATGGCTATTTAATAACCTGTAAAAGAAAGGGGTGAGGAAGATGCTTGTATCTGAAGTGATACTGGTGTGTTACAGAATGTCATATGATGAGTCATAGCTCAGTGTGAGCACACTTGCACAGTGGATCATAACTCCTCCACCTCCTGCCCCTTTTGAATTTTCAGGGCATGGGAGAGATGTCATCTCTGCCAAACAAGTGCAGATGCAGCAGCTGCCAGGACCCATTTTGTAGAGAGGATCCAGACAACAGTATCCTTTCTTGGCTCTCAACCCCTTCCACAAGCGTAGGGTGCAGTACAGCAGCACCATTGCAATTGCTACGGTGTGCTCCCATCTGGAGAGTTATGTTTTCAATAACCGGAGTTCAAGCTGGGTCTCTATGAGGTGTTTTGTTGGTTTATTTTTTTTCAATTGTGCTGCTCTTGAATAGTCACAAATCTTTAGCTCCAGAGAATCAAGGCCACAAGGCCAACATGCCAGGCAGATCTGCAGCATCTGGCCTTCCCCCTGCAATGCCACTACACAGGCATCTTGCCTTCTACCCCGACTCCAACTAGCCAGGCCCTGGGTTCAGGGTGGTGCACAGAGCTGGTGTAACCTTCCTTAAGCTGCTGCTGTTTGAGTTCTGTTCACCAAGGCCAGCCTTCAGTCCTGCAGAGATGGAGGAGGAGTTAAAGGTCCTCCAGGATGTCCCCTGCTTTCTGAGCCAGTATGTGGAAGCTGAGCTTGCAGGTAAGGATTAAAAAAAAGAGGAGCGAAAGGGTAGAAGGTGGAATAAGGATGGCTTAAGTGGGTTCCAGTCACATGTGTCTTGTGTTCTTGGCATGTGCTGGATGTGAGGGTCAGGAACATTCTCTGCTTAAAATGAGGGCTAGTGAACCCAAGGCCACTCTAGAAACTGGTATCTGGGGAGGAAGGTTTCAGTATTCTCATGCCTGCTGTTTTTCCTCTGCTTCTCTTCCAGACCAACCCACCCTGCAAAGAGAGTATGAAAGCCTTTTGACCTTGGAGGGTTTGCAAACCACAGTTTCCCAGTGCCTGCATAAGCTGCAGCTCCTGCGAGCAGGTGAGCCAGAGCCTGTTCTTGTAGTGGGATATGAATGTGGCCACCTGTGGTTGAACAGGTCTTTGCTATCTGTGCACACAACACTGTGATCCAACATAAGTTTTCTCCTGGTTATCATAAATGGTAATGTAGCATTTAAAATTCTCTGGTGGCAAACAAAGCTGTGGTATTTTTTTTGCCCCATCTGTGTTCAGGTGAGGTTTGGGACTTTGTAATTCTGGAGGGCTGGTGCGGGAGCTGTTGGGAGGTGGGAGAGGCTTCATGCCATAGCTTCAGATGTCGTGGTTGTGCCATTCCAAGGAGCTCATCCTGACTAAAACAGCATTAGTCACTCATTTCTAGGAAGAGTAATGACAAATTCTGCAAGTACAGGTTTAACTTGTACCTTTCTGCCTCCTGCCAACTCTTCCACCCTGGCAGCTGTGGAGTCGCAGAGGAAGATGCACCCAGACTGCACTGGGAACATGGGAAGCTGCTCTCCAGCCTGTATTCCTTCCAGGGGACAGATGTATGACAGTGCAGGCATGCTGGCTGTGCCTCTCCTTTGTTACTCCAGTTTCCAGGAGCTGAGGGACCTGTTTGCCTTGAAGCTGCAGGTGTCAATACTGCACCAAGAAATTGCCTTACAAAAGGTGAGTCCATAAAAGGGTTTGTGATCCAGTGTAGGGAAAGAAAAGGGCCGTTATAGGGCAACAGCTGACATATGGGGTAGCAACAGGGCAGCGAGCACTCCCAGTGATGTTTCTGTGTTCATGCTTCATGTCCAAGTCCCATCAGTGCTTTGCTTGCTTTGTGAATGGTATTCTTCTGTTAAGGCCAGAGCAAAGGTGCTTAAATGTCTGACCCTCTCCTGATAAGATACTCTTTTTTTTTTTTTTTTTTTTTTTTATTTAGCTACTCTGAAAAAGTTTGGCAGTGGAGGATGGTTTCTGTAATACCTCACGACCCCCTTTGGCAGCTATTACAGTCCCATTAAGGCACCCACTGTCATTCTGTCCTGAGTGACCTCCAGCTAGTGAACTCCTCTGCTGTCTGTTCCTTTCCTTTTAAACCTCAAACCACTGTGCTGCTAATTGGGATTTTACTATTCTGAGGCTGCCTATAGGAACATGGTGGGAGATCAGTCTCTTGACCAGCCTGAGCAGAGCAGCAGCAAAGGGCAGAGAAGAGCAGTGAAATCACATCTGCTCCTTTGACCTAACCTTTGCTGTTGACCTTTGCTTTGGAAAAGTTATTTCCTGTAAGCCAGGGATGAGTTACTCATAACTGGCCATGCTCCTCCTTCTGGCTGAAGATAAATTGCTGCCTGTCTTCAGATGGGACATTAGCACCATAATCCTGAATTATGGGTAATGAGGGTTTGATTTTTATCTGCCAAGAATGAAGTAGTGACCCACTGCCTGCTGCTTTGTTGACTGACTCTATTTCCTCTGCACATGTCTCTAAATCTGTGCTTTTAGCTGGGTATCTGCAGCAGCTGTGTGCAGGAAAAGTTGAATTCTTTGGACAGGTGAAGTGAATAGACTTGGTACAAGATAAAGACCCTGGGAAAGGATGTGCATACATATTTCTGGGTCAAGCCTGTTGATAGCCTTTCTGTGGAGAAATACCAAGAATCATAGAAATACCTGGTAGCTCTTAGCCTGTTTTTGGTAAAGGCCTCTTTTCTTATGCATCAGGAGCAGGCCAGGCAGATGGAAAACAGAAGGGTCTCTCTCTTTGATAGAACAACACTATAGTGCTCCCTCACGTGCTAGTTTTCCCCTTAGGTAGGTTTCATGTCTGCAGCTCTTAACTCTTACCAGAGATGAGCAACTGTGTCCTGTTTCCTGTCCCTGTGCAGATCCCCTGTACTCTGTTCTATTTGGGTCTTCCTTTGTTTCCACCCCTGGAAAATGTTTTCAGGGAGGTGACTGACACCTGCACCATACTTCTGGAGGGCAGTGTGTACAGCAGGCTGTGTAGATTTTAATGTGCAGACTGCTCAGACTTCATTAGCTGCTGTCATCTGAAAACCATATCCCAGGCAAAATGTCTTTCTGAGCAGTCATACAAGAGTGGGGCTCCTTCCTGGGGAGGAGTGCAGCTTTGTTCTGTTTGGGCTGGAGCTGGCCACTTGCCTATGATGTGTGGACTTATGTGGCCCAACTGAGAGGTGACAGGAGCAAATGGTTGAACTACTCATTGCATAAGTGCTTCACTGTTTGGTTGGAAAGCTCCTGAATCAACATCAGCTTCAGCTTCTAGCAGGATGCTGATTTTTATTCCAGTGCCAGGCTGGCTCTGCAGCATTTATCTCTGCTCTGGGAACACTGGGTGGCTGCTGGTGCACTTCATGAGTAGAGGATGAACAACTCTGCCTTTGTTGAATATGACAAAAGAGAATACCTGCCTATCAATCAGCGTGCTATTAGTCACACTGCTCTGGTTAGGTACCACTTGTAATGCAGCCACGTCATTTCATGGCATCCCAAAAGTACATGCTGGCTATGGTGATGTATCTCCTTTGCTCCAGGTCATGATGGCAGAACTCCTGCCTGTCCTGGAGGCCAAGCCCTGGCCAGAGGCCTCTGCAGCGCAGCTCTATCGGGCCATGTACACGCAGCTCTGTGAAGGGGGCAACAGATTTCCTGTGCTGGTGAGGGATGAACTGGCAGACTGAGCCCATGGGAAACTCCTCCTGGCCATTGACGTAACCACAATTTTTAAGCAATAAATGTTTTCTTTTCTGTTAACTTTTTTTATTCTGCCTGTTTGTCCAGCTCATTTTCAGGGGCTTGTTTTTCTTTTGTGGGTTTGTTGGGTTTGGTTTTTGGTTGGTTGGTTGTTTTTTCCTTTTATATCACTTTTATGACCTGCTAACTCTGAGGTTTTGTAATGCCCCTTCAGAGATTGAGACATTCATTGTTACTTTTCTTCCAAGGTCTGTCTCTGTTTCTAGCTGTAGATTCCTGGCTGCCTCAGTCAGGACACCAGGCCTCTATACGCAGACAGCATAGCAGGCAGTAAAACATGCTTTGTATGGATCAGATAGCCAGTCTGGTGGGGAGCAGCCTTCCTGCATCTAAAAATCCAGAGAACCTGTGCTGCTGCTTCCCTATTACTCCGATCACCAGCTGGCATATAACCAGCATTATAGCAGTCATTGTCTAATATTTCAGAGTCCAGAGGCCACAGAGATGCTGAGAGGGCTGGAGCAGCTCTGCTCTGAAGTCAGGCTGAGAGAGCTGGGCTGGTTCAGCCTGGAGAAGAGAAGGCTCCTTAAGGGGAGACCTTGTAGGCCCTTTAGGCACTGGAAGCTCCTCTAAGAAACCTGAAGAGGGCCTTTGGACAAGGCCTTGCCAACACCAGCCTAGGAAAGGGATTCTCCTCCTCTGCTGTGCTCTGGGAAGACCCCCCCCTGAAGTCCTGATCCGGCCCTGGGGCAACAGCACAAGAGGGACATGGAGCTGTTGGAGTGAGTCCAGAGGAGGCCATGGAGATGCTGCAAGGGCTGGAGCAGCTCTGCTCTGGAGCCAGCCTGAGAGAGCTGGGCTGGTTCAGCCTAGAGAAGAAGGCTCCTTAAGGGGTGACCTTAGAGCAGCTCCCATTGCCTAAAGGGGCTACAGGAAACCTGGAGAGGGGCTTTGGACAAGGGCCTGTATGGACAGGACAAGGGGAAGGGCTTTAACCTGCCAGAGGGGAGACTGAGATGAGCTCTTAGGCAGAAGTTCTTCCCTGTGAGGGTGCTGAGGTGCTAGCACAGGTTGCCCAGAGAAGCTGTGGCTGCCCCATCCCTGGCAGTGTTCAAAGCCAGGTTGGATGGGGCTTGGAGCAACCTGGTCTAGTGAAAGGTGTCCCTGCCCATGGCAGGGGTTTGGAACTGGATGAGCTTTAACGTCCCTTCCAACACAACCCGTTGTGTGATTCTGTGATCTGTTCTAAATCAGGCTGGTGAAGCAGCCCAGTAGATGGCACCCAGCCCTTTCTGTTCCAGCTGAACAGAGCCAGGAGCTGCCTCCTGAGGGGACTACACAGTGTTCTGCCCGTGGAAAACTCAGATCCAGTGGCACTTCTGACGTTGTCACTATGGAAAAATTCCAGCTTTGGTTCTTCCTGCACCCTAGGTTTTGAAGGTAATCCCCAAATCCCTTGGCATTTCGATGTGACAATTGAAGCAGAGCCTTAGAGTCAAGTGGACTATCTATGCCTGTGATCACTTCGAAGTGATTTTGGGGGTGGGCCTCTGTGTACTGCTGCTTATTGCAGTGACTTGCAACATATCTCTTTGCTGGACATGGGCTGTTTGCCTGGGGGTATTTAGCTCTTTGCAGTGCTGACAGGGATCATTATTTTTCCTTCGGCTTTGTTCAAGGCCAGAGTGAGTTGTCTGGCCCTTTCTGACACTTGGATTTCACAAAAAACCCTTCATATGACAGATGAGAATCAGCATCTCTCACTTTAGTTTTTTGATCATATTGCGTTCAGTTCTTTGTAAATAGTATTTACTTTCCCATGGAGTCTGCAGTCAAGGCAGGGGTTTGTTACCTTTTTCCTTCCCTGCAGAGGAGTCTTGTGTGATTTATATCTGTATGGTCTACAGGGGCCTCAGGACTGGAGGATTGCAAGGTACTGATTAAAGGCTGCTCATAGGAAGGAGGAGGTGCTGCCTCCTGAATTACTATGTTCGTATGCTATGGGTATTAATATCTGCAGGATTGAATGTTAGAGATGATGTTTGGTGTTGTTAATTGCCATGCTGTAATCCATAACTTGTGCCTGTAAGCCCTGCATGAGTCATGGAGCATCGGCTTCTGTGTGCAGAGCAGGCCAGTGTCATTTGGCAGGAACTCCAGTGCCACAGCAAGGACTGCATAGGTGGGAAAGGACCGTGAAGAAGAGCCCAAGCCTGCAAAAATGGCCTTGCAGGGGTTGTTACAAGCTTAAGAGGCAAACTGGCGCCACAGGAGGGGTGCAGAGAGCATGGGGACCGGCAGGTAGCTGGGTTGTTGTGTGCCTTTTGGTGCAGTGGGCTTTTATTGCTCTTCCCACACTGTGTAAGAGGCATTTTGTAACTTTCATGCATGTGTAAGACTTTAAATCATGTGAATGACTCACTTCTTCAAATGAGTCTTGTGCTACAGCAGAGATAAAGATTTAGTAGCAACCTCAGAGGTTGGGGGGGGTCTTTTCATTATGAAATGTGCCATTGTTATAGAGAGAAATTATACTGGTACATCAAATTGAGATGAGGGAAGAAGACAGACAAAAGGTAGTATTTGTGATGCCAGGGGATAGTATTACAGAACTACAGGAAATGAGCAGTATTTTTGGAAAGTGATGGATGAGACCAGTGTTGGGTAGGCATGAGCTGAGATGAAGCAGGGTGAGGGTCGAATTAGCAGCTCTTATTCCTGCAATAGAGTCTTAAAAGGCTTTTGTGGTGGTTTTGGTTTGTTGTTTTTTTTTCCACTACTGTAGGATCTGAAGTGGGATCCCTTCAAGGGGACAAGTTTCCTCTTTTCTTTCCAGAGTCTGTGACTTTAAGCATTTCCAACTTGTATGGTTTGTCTTTTCCACCAGCTTCCTTCTTCTTCCCCTTCCTGCAACTTTTCCACTCACTGTTTTTGTTTCAGCAAATATGTTTGACCAGTGGGAAGTCAGACGCAGTGCTGCTGTTAGTGCACACTGAAATAACAAACCTTGTGCACTGCTCATCTTCGGTTAGTTCTGGATGTTCCATCCCTGGCAGTATTCAAGGTCAGATTGGATGGGGCTTGGAGCAGCCTGGTCTAGTGGAAGGTGGATCCTGCCTGTGGCAGGGGGTTGGAACCGAATGAACTGTAAGGTCTCTTCAACCCTAGCCAGTCTGGGATTCTGTGATTCATTGTGTTGGAACCTTTGAGGGATTTATCCTGCACGTGTTATCAGATAATACCACCAAGTGCTTGCTACAGGTCCCTCCTTGGAAAACACAGCATGTAGAGACAAAACAATGTGGCTAGGGATACTCTCCATCTAAATGAGAAATAATCTGAGTCAAGAGAGAAGGCAAAGCTCATGAAATGGAGGAATGTCCTGCCTCTTCCAGCCTTTTTCAAGGGTCTCTAGCAGCATGTGAGCAGTGATGGAGCATGACAGCCTGCTGAAATGATTGGATCTACAGCATGAGCAGAGGGTCCTACCCTGGGGCAAGGGCAGGAAGAACTCCCGAGTTACCTGGGCCTGGAGCACAGGTTATAGTTTGGAGAGGAAAAGCCAGATGGACTGAATGAAGTATAAGGGAGAACTTCATCAACAAGCAGTGTAAGATGGTAAGTGTTGAACTGGAGGAGAACTCCCAGCTCTCTCTGTAGATGACAAATTTGCTGTTGGTTTTATTCTCCAAATGAGCTTTCTGTGAGCTCCAGAGAGGTTACTTCATTAAAACACTGTATGGAGTTCAAGTCTGAGGCATTAGCACCTGAATCAGCAACTTGCTGGGCAGTGTGTGCTGCTGTGCCAGGCCAGGGCTTTGAGAAAGATCAATGGTGCTTTAAAGTGCTGAGACAGAAAAGAATTGGGGGGAATTATGTCCTCCACAAATCCTTTAATTGGTTGTGGGGTTTTTTTACCTAACTCAGTTTGTCCCCAAGTTACAGGATTGAATTTGAGTTTGGGATTTCCAGCTGAAGCTCTACTGAGAGACTTTGCTGCTAAATCTGGAAGTGATGATGTTGGGTTACATGTGAGTGCAAACCACACTGAGGACGCTGAATGTGGATAATGCAGGATGGATCCTCCACCTCCAGACTGTCTCAGGGTGTCCAATTCTCAGTAAGCAGTGAGTTGGAGATGCTTTAATAACGTTGTGAAGGCCAGGAGGAGGGACCATGTGGATTGTTTGCAGGCAAAGAGCCAGTTCACAGCTGAGCATTTCCAGTCTTGAGTCCCATCACCAGGCAGGGATCACTGAGAGGCTGTAGCAGGGGATGGATCTGACAACAGGGGCTCTTCACTTCTGGTCTGTAAAATGGAGTTTGCTATTATTTCACATGCTCATTAGCTTGGCTTTGCCACATCTATACTCTGCAGCAAGGCTTTCTTATTTTTCTTAAGCATTTACACTAGGACTGGCACAGCAAACATCTGAATTCAATGGAAGCTTCTTAGTCCTCCTTCAGTTCCATTAAAAAAAACTCTTGCAATCAAAAACCCTAATCGTGACTCAGCCCAACATGAAAACAATTCAGTAAATGGGTATTAAAATGTCTGTTATCCACTGTGCAGATCAAATACTACCTTTGTAACATCAAAACCACCATCCAGAAGAAACAATCTATTGCCTGGTAATTAATCTGAGCCCAGCTACAAAGAAGAGGGCAGGAACCTGTGTGCCACATGTGCCAGGGTAGAAAGAGCTGGTAATGGGAGGGGAAAACTGAAAAGCAGGTTTTGAACTGTAATTTCAGAAGGCAAGAAGTAACAGCAGTGGGTTATTTAGGCACGCAGAAATGTTTGACTTATTTTTAGACAGAACAAGAAAGATAATCAGTGGATCTGGAGTTCAGAAAGGAAAAAGCAAATAGAAGGAAGCTCTGAGTCAGTGGAAGAGACTGACCCTAAAGAAAAGCTGGTCTAAAACCTCACCTCCTGGTTGCTGAGAACACAAACTCCCAGTGGTGCTAATGATGGTTAGCCTTTTCTCAGCCCTTGTATTTTATAGGGGGAGACAATTTATTAGTCTCATTTATCTCCAGTTTAAGAAGAAACCAAGAGACAATGTACACATTCAGGTTGTTCAGACCTGAAGGGTCTGGTCATAAAGCAACTGGAGGGTTGCTTTATGTGCTGCAAATGAAGTTGTGGTGTAAATCATGCTGCACTTTTCCCTCTATTATACCTCATCTGCTGATGCAGCTGGCACAGCCTCTTAGCTCTGGACTTTGGAGAAATGAGAGATCTGAGGATCTCACCCATTTGGGGTTTTAGGTTTGTTTTTTTGGTTTTGTTTTGGGGTGGGTTTTTTTTTTTGCTGCTTCAATTTCTAAATTTCAGAATATAGAGCACTTTTCCCTTTTGGGATGAAATCTCTTACAGGATATAGTAGCAGTAAATCTTGGTTTTGCAATTGTTGGGCAGCTCAGTGCTGTTATTCATGGTGATGGGCATCTGTACATCTCACTGCCCTCAGGAAGAATTGTT